TTTATTAACACAAACTAAACCATGATGCAATATTGCTGATGACGTAGGAATACAGAAATACATTAATATACTTTATATTTAAGTAAATATATACATATATCCAAAAGTTTTGACAACAAAAAAGAATTTAAAAATGTATTACATTGTGTTTATTTAACATCAAACACATATAAACTATTTTCTCATTTCACTATGACATCAAACACGATATCACATTAAGTAAATTAAATTCAATTTTATGTGATTGTATTTAGTAATAAATACAATCACATTCCTAAATATAGGAAGAAATATAAGCCATTACTTAACAATAAGTAGAAGCATATAATGTACTTTGTATTACTGATATGTATAGCCACAATATCAATTTAAAAAATCTAAATATATAGAACATATAGAAATATTTTGTCATACATTTTTCATAAAAAAAGACTATTTGCAACAGTTACTGTAAATTTGATGGATATTAGAATTTAAAAAATTTTGAAATTAAACATTATTTGTAAAATATTTGAATAAATATGTGAATCAATAATTAATGCAAACATGATTGTGCGTTTGTGAATACTATGTTGTTTAATTAAATAATAATGCAACAATTTTTATACTATATTTCCGATTAATTCCCTTCTTTCTTTGTCAAGTCACAAGTATAGAATAAAATCGCATTTCCTCATATCGTATACTGAATAGCAAACATTTTTATCATTATCGGTACTCTCTGGCGATGGTAACATATACATATATTTACAATCAGAAAGTGCGTCTTCTATCCGAGATCTGAACCACTGGTACTATATTAACATGTACCGCGCGAAAGAAATCTTGTATATTGAGTTACCATCTAGCGGAATTGAATTAAATTAATATTTATACGCAAATATATGATAAGAGTTGCGTAATATTATACCAAGTTTGGCTTTTACCGCGCACAATAATTTGCATTTCTATTATTATTAAACTATTATTTTATATTATTAGTAAACTAATTATCAATAAAATAAGTGATAATTTGTTTATTACAAAATTATTTGGAAAAAAAATATATTTATTCTTTTTGTCTTTCTCTCTCTCTTACATAATTGCAAAAAGTGCTTTACATGTAAATATAAATATTTGAATCTTCTTGTTTTTTTTTAATGTTATGCAGATTTGACATCTAGGCCCAATTTCTTCATATCTCTCGATAACTATTCTCTGGATAAAGATCCCAAGCAACCAGCTGATGTAATGACGTAAAAAACGTGAATTTTGTCACTAATTGGTGATTATGACCTAAATCTGACCTTATTTTGAACATCGCAACAATGACGTCAGTATATACGTCACACGTATACGTGTCATATATGATGTAACTATTGGTCTTTGGAGTGACGTCAGTTGAAATAAGTGAGTAAGACGTCATAATGACGTTATTTACATAACACGGTTGTTAAAAATTTGTTTTTGAGTATATATGTATGTATTATATATAAGATCCCATATAGCACGTAATATTAAGGAAATATCACAATAAAATTGCAATATACCAGTAATATTAGATATTATAATACAATAATATTACAATAATATTATCAATATATATATATATATATATATATATATATAACATTTTTACTGTATAATAATTATTATATAATAAAATTGATATATATAAAAATGTGTATACATTNTTATATAATAAAATTGATATATATAAAAATGTGTATACATATTTTTCTATATTATTTGGTATATATTTATTAAAAATTGACTTTAATAATCAGTACATATTAACAAAAACTTTGTTCGCGTTGTAAAAATGTATTTTAAATTATATTTAATAATAATACTAATAATAAGAGAATCAGTTTTATCCATTGTTGCAGATACAGTTGCACTACAATATTTTTAATAAAATAATAATTTTAATAAATAATAAATAAAATGTGTAGAATAGCTTAAGAATAACCAGAGAAAAGAATCACATTTTAGTAAGGAACAAGTAGTCTTGCGGAGTGCAGGTGCTGCGAATACGACGGAGGCATCTCGAGTTCGAATCCCGCTATCATCTTAGGATTTTTTCAGGTTCGCGGTCCCTTTTAATGGAATTTATCGGTTGATTGGCGAGCTGAAAAAAATTTTCAGCTTCCAAAAATTACTTCAAGTGAAATCTCTTAGCTGCGTGAAAACGCAAATCGCGAAAAATTTTTTTATTGAATTTTTAGATGTATTTAACTTAATAAACTATTTTATTTCGAGTCACGCTTAACGTAAACACTATGCAAACTTTCAAAAACGTTTTATACAAACGCCTTTCAACGCTGTAGCGTTGCAATTTCCGCTTTATAAACTTTTTACTGACCGTTTCAAAATTTTCTACGGACTTCCACAAAACGCTCATACAAACGTCAAATAAACGTTTATAAAACTTCTCATTTTCGTTAGAGTTCTTTTTTCGCTTAAGTATTCAACAATTGCTAATAATGATAAAAAATATTCTAGAAGAGATAACCGAGTTCTTTGTTTATTTGTTTATCATATTGTCACATAAAATAAATAGATTTAGCGTAAAATTTATCTAATGAATTGATTGTCTATTACTGAAACAATTATTACTCAAACAATTATCTACAGCTAATAAACACAAATAACTATCTTATTAACCATATTATGTTCTGTGTCATAAAACAGCTTTATAAAAAATTTATAAGTTTAATAAAATTATTGTTTCTTTATTTATCTCATATAAAGGTTATAAATATCTTCGTTACTTTTTACAAATTTTTTCATTATAATAATTCAGTTACTGTTGTATGTAATTCTAGTACTCATAGAGAAAAATACTACTGTCTTTATTTATTTTTATATCAGACTATTTTTAAGACTAGCATTAAAAGAGAGAGAAAGAAAATAGCGTGTCAACATATATGAGGGAAAGTACAGTGCGCGCGCGAATTCTGTTTTAAATGAATATCAGCTTGGTAGTCGACACTTCGTAGAAAAAACTGATTAAGCAGTTATAGTCATCGCAGCCGCGAGACCGTGAAAGGAACTTGAAGTTTCAGCGTAGTAGCCAGTAGCATTACGCTCGCTTGCCGAAGGTGAAACTCACGGAGAGATTTGTCGAATTATAGTTGTGTGCATGTGGTAAGTAATTTATATTATATATTTTATAATTTTTTTCCGATGACGCTATCTTATAATAAATATAAAGTTAAAACCTATTTTTTATTTTGACATCATTTGGTTTAAACTTAGCAAATATATATGGTTTTTATTTTTTTTTTTTTGTACGAAATTTGTTAGTGCAACTCGTAAATACACTAAAAAATAAGACTTTTCACGTGCATGTAAAATCATGTGATATGCTTTCATGAAAAAGTAACAAAACTCGTTCTTAAGTACATTTTAATGGAATATATAAAGATGCATGATATACGCATATATGCCTGTATCGTACCTGCATGTTTTCCTTATTCTATAGATAGGTATGTCTTATTCTACAGATATATATGTCTTTTTTGTATACGGGATAAAACTACAGATATACGATACAAGGATACGTAACAATTATTATATCTATGTACATACATACACGTATATATTACCCACTTTAAGGGGATACTATTCTTTAATCGTTATGACTAATATAAATGTCATAAAATTGTATTTTATGGTCCTATAGCACGCAATATTTAGATCTTATCTTTTTAAAACAAAATCTTAAATAGATTTTTATCTTAAAGTATTTGTCTCTATTTTCTGAAGATACATCTCACACAGAACAAAATCTTTATTAGACATCTGTTAGATATTGCATGAAGCTGTTGACGTCTAATAGACATCTAATGGAGTTTTTATTATATAATATAATAGTGCTGAATCTCGTTTTAATAACAGAGAAGAAGATAGCAATATATTTCTTATTTTATTTGAAACGTGCAAATTAATATACATATAAAATAACAACATATAATAACATATTATATGTATTAATAAAATATAATAACATATTATGTGTATTTAATTTACATGTTTTATATAAAATACAAAATATATTTTGCATTAACATCTAGCATATTGGTTCACATGATCAAATTAATCTTTGATACTATATAGGCAAATTTTTTGTTAAATTTTGTATTTGATCATAGAAAAGATGGCTCTTTGCGTTGAAATTTTGTACAAAATATAACTTTGGGAGCCATTTTTTCTAATCATCAGATTCCTTTTTGTGTTTATAAGTTAATTTTCTAACACTATAGTTCTTTGTTACTTCTCTGTTTTTGTTTACATTTATATGTATAGTTTTTATATATTATTTTTGAAAATATCATACCTATACTATTTTTGAAAATATCCGTCATCTGCGTGTAGTAGAGTGCACATATATATATCTCACAGGGGTACGTTCCAAAATCTTACCTTGGTAACCGAAAACTATAGTACACGTGACGCAAAATATAGCATTTTGGTAACCAAGGATTTTTGAGCGTACCCCACCTGGTTATATTCAGAAAACCAAGAAAACAACAGTTACGCAATAATTGAGAGATTATCATGAATTATTATTTGTGATTGGATCATATATTTGGAATCGTGATAGATTTTAAGGAGTTCCTATCACGCGATGACCTGTCAACTAATGTGTAAATGTTGAGTTTTCTGAATGTGACCAATCTTTAAATCTAACTTAACCTAACCTAACAAAAATGACTTGGTTAAAATCTAAGGTAAGGGCCTCCGCACAAACTCTTTCTTAACGCGTTACGTTACGTTAAGTTGGCTATGAACTTAGATTTGTACGTAAACTTGAACGTTATTCAACGCACAAACTAATATTTAACGTAACGTACCGTTACTTACTAGTCATAAACTTAAATTTGTATGTAAACTTGAACTTTATTCAACGCACAAACTAGTACTTAACGTAACGTAACGCGTTAAGAAAGAGTTTGTGCGGAGGCCCTAAGTCTGGTTGATTGTTACAAATGTACACACAGCCGTACACGGTACGATCTTGCTGTTTACGAATTGATAAAAGTCGATAAGAAACATCCAAATATCTAAAGTCGCACAAAAAGATAAAGACATGTACATGGAAGTTTCGAGTTAACGCAAGATAATACAAGTGTTGCACAAATGTGACATAATACAAGAAAATATCACAGCGATACCGCATACATAAATCTTTTAATATAAAAATTTTAAAACAGTTTAGTTTTAATAAAGTCTTGTAGTTTGAAGACCTCGTATGTTTTTCACTAAAGTATGATATAGTATACAAGTATAAGGTACAAATTACTGTAATATAAATTGTTGAACTGTAATATATATATATATATAAATATATATAACAAATATATGATTTGTACAGATAATTAATATATCTATAGGTTGTAGTTTTATTGTATACAGAAACTATCAAGATTATATCAACATGCGTCAGCAATGGATAATTATTTGTCTACTAGCATACGTACATCTATCACATCAGGTAAATGATAATAAGAAAATTCTTCTATTTATACTGATACTTTTCTATTTTTCAATATATATGTACTTTTATTATGCATAGAAATCATCACCAAATTTACCAACTTATGTAGCAGCTGTAATAGAATATCATTCAGAATTTCATATTGATAGTGAATCAACTTTAGGAGCAAATACTGATGCATATGTTAAACTTATTGAAACAGCTAGTGCACAAGTAAGTATTTAAAACAAAAATTCGCCATCCTTATTTCGCCTTTCTTGAATCTTACAGAAATCAATGTTTACCTCACCTTTGATTTTGACAAACATGTTATTTGTTTCTCTTGGTTTGTCTTGTTAGTGGGGATATACCACACATGTATTTAAGCACACTCATTTTGAGGGTTGTACATCAGTACTTTTATAGATTTTAACGAAACATGTCGGTTTGAATGTATTGGTGCTTTGTTTTCGGTTTTTTGTGCATTTTTGATATGTAATTATTTTTTAATTTTTTTAATTTTTTTATATTTAAATTATTTTTTCATTATCTTTGACATATCATTTTCAATATAGGCATCATTTGTGATCATTACTTGAATAATCACTAAGAAACTTACTGATTTGCAATCTTGTTTATATTTTATATTCTCGGAGGTGTGAGTGTGATTTACTTATTTTATGTATTTATTTTATTTATTTTATTATCTCCTTTGTTTGCGAAAAAATCCGATTCAATTGTCATTTTATTGTAAAAAAATTTTTGTTGCTCAGTTCTTTACCACTGATGAAGATCCAATCCAGGGATCGAAACGTATGGTTTTATTAAATAAATTGATTTAAACACACTTCCATCCGGTGTACTTCTCGCCTTAACCTTGTTACTTTATTTAAAACAAATCTAGATTTCTACTATTTTATGTAAAATGTGTGATTGGAAATAATTTCTAGCTATTATATACATTCTACATACAAAAATTACTTGGAGTATTTAAACATTTTTCAGAAAGTTGATATACTTGTTTTCCCAGAAGATGGCTTGACAAGTTACACCACAATAGGAAGACATGAATTATATAATTGGACAACTATTATTCCTGCTGCTTCAGATAATTTTATTCCTTGCACTAACACTACTATTAATGTCAGCAAGGTATATATTTTGCATGTTTATTGTACACACAATTCTTCATAGCAGAACTTGTAATGAATTTTACACACAACATATTGTAAATTTCCAGACACTAAGAGAAATATCATGTGCTGCAAGAGAAAATGAAATCTATGTTGTGATCAACATTGCTGAGCAATTACCTTGTGTACATCAACCTGGATGTCGAAAAGATAATATGTTCTATTATAACAGCAACGTTGTTTTTGATCGCAAAGGAAAGATTATTGCCAGGTACATAGATATTAAAGTATATATACATAAAAAGAAAGCAGCTTCTGACAACCTTCGACATATGTTATCAAGGTCATGAATGATCTTTAAAAGATTTTAAGTGATGCTCACTATTCATTAAAAAGTTATTAACAAAAAATGATATGTTAATAAAATAAAATTTCATACATAAAACGTAATTGAAAAGTCGCAAACTACTTATGTGGAACAGTACAATCATAAACTTTGTTTTGTCCCCAAGAGAGGGTAGATCCTTGCTTTGCGTGGAAAGTCGAAAACGCATGTGGAACAGAACAATTTATAAACTTTCGCTTTGCTCCGTAAGAAATTCCACAAGCGGTTGAAATCGTGAGTTACATGAAGGAACTCGTGGATATTCATGTTGATTTAAAGAAGTGTCTACAAATCGAACTTAACTGACTTATTGACACGAACTAAGCCGTACACGTCAGTCACTGACGAAATAAAAACAAAGATGCATGTTGATACAATTAAACACTTCAAAGTTATTTGTGCCGACTTTGCATAGCTTCCTGCTTACAGACTCATGCAAAACGAGAACTCCACCCAACTCTCGTTTCTGCTTACGGAGCGAAGCAAGGTTTATAAGAGCCTGAGCATAATAGAGAAAATATTAGGAATAAGAATTAGAAATAGAAGGTAAATGTACTATACATATAACAATGACAAGAAATAAAATATAACATAAATATAAGAAGTGTCATGGCTGCATGATATACAGTCTATATTTATATACATTTTATATATTTTATTTTTTTGCATTACATTTAACCTTTGTTTTTAATTCTTATTCTTAATATTTTCTCTATTGTGCTCAGGCCCTAATTGTTCTGTTCTGCATGCATTTTTGACTTTTCACACGAAGCAAAAATCAACTCTCATCCATCTCTGTCTTGCTTAGGAATGAAGCGAGATCTAGATTGTATTATTCCACATAGGTTTGCAACTTTTCAATTACATTTTATGTATGACAATTTTATTTTATTGACATATCATTTTTTGTTAATAACTTTTTATGAAATGAACAATGAGCATTACCTAAAACCTTTTGAAGATCACTCAGAGTCACTTTGATAACATATGTCAAAATAAAGGTCGTCAGAAGTTACTCTCCTTATAAATACCGATATTTTTATTATTATTGCTATTGCTTTGTATAAAATTATTATATTTAATTGATCGTATAGATATCGTAAAACAAATCTTTTTATGGAACACAACTTTGATACAACAAAAGAACCAGAAGTAGTAATTTTTGATACTGATTTTGGAGTAAAGTTTGGAACTTTTACATGTTTTGATATATTGTTCTACAACCCTGCCTTACAATTAACAAGACATCAACATATCACTGACATTGTTTTTCCCACTGCATGGTTTTCTGAAGTACCATTCTTAACAGGTAAAACAAACTAAATATGTTTTTGCTTTTGAAAAATTTCACAAAAAATTGTATATTAATTATAGAAAATCAACAAAATATAATTAAATTTTTAGCTGTACAAACACAAGCAGGATGGTCATTTGCCGAAGATGTAAATTTTTTAGTTTCTGGTTATAACAGACCTTTTTCTGGCAGCACTGGCAGTGGAATTTACTTAGGTAAATTGAATAAAATCTTAAAATAGTTTATAATTGTGATAATTTGTTATGTAAGTGTACAAGACAATATTTTATAGGTCGTAAAGGCGTAGGCAAAGCCATAATGTCTCGCATTAACGAAACGGAAATGTTGATATTTGAAGTACCGAAAATAAAAAGGACAAATGAATCCGAATCATATCAGAATCATATGAAAGACAACAATCAGCAAACAAAATCGTATAAAGAGGAGAGTACATTCTATGAATTAAGGAACAAGCAAGAAAACACCATAACAAAGACTAATAATACAAATATATTTTTTGGGCATGATTTCATTGACCATTTTGAAACATTTTTATTCCAACAACAAAATATTAGTCAAAAATCACTTTGCCAGAATTCTTTTTGCTGTGAATTTACAGTATCAACTGTACTTACAGATCCGAATATAAAATATCGCTTAGTAGTTTTTAGTGGTACTCGTAAATATGGTGTTACTGATGCTAGCGTGAGCACGTGCGGTATAATTCAGTGTTTGAACGAAACTATTGCGTCCTGCGTTTCCATTCCAAGAGATTCAAAAACAGTATTTAGCGAAATGGAAGTCACAGCACGGTTCGAAGATTATAAAAATATTTTAATTATGCCGTCGACATTAAGTTCAGATTTACTTCCGCTTACAAAGTGGGCATATGACGAACATACACATGACAATCATGTACATGTTACTATATCGTTAAATAACAACATAAACAATGTAGTAACGTTCGGATTATACGCAAGGACCTTTCATGAGGGCAAAAACGGAGCAGCCTGTGCATTCAACACTATCAGTGGTTTCGTACTATCATTAGCAGTTTTGTTGTTGTCAAGACTTATTTGACATAAATTTATACATTTATACATTATCCTATAATTTATCATGAAACTTGAATGTCATTCGAAGTGATTCCGACTTTATCAGTTTTTTTCTTTTTCTTATCGATTTTAAATAGTTTTACAATAAGTAATATAATTTGTATGGTTTTATTTACATGTAAAATTAACAATTGAAGTAAGAAGATACAGGGAAAGTTAATATAACTTCAAGCATCATCGATGAATGTTAACGTTTCGTAGAGTAATAAAAATATTAATGTGTTACTTATATTTTTATCTTGTAATAAAAATGTATGTTATAAAAGGACGTATTCTCAATATTTTTGTTGAAAATTGCAATATATATTCATCGTTACTAGGACCACATTCAATCAATCGTAAGTAATAATCGTAGAGAATAAACTTTATAGAGGTTGTCTTAGAGAAGATTTCTCTAAGACAATAAAGATTTTTCTATAAAGAGGCATGTGTATATTTTCTACTATGAGATGTTATTTTCTTATTTCTTATAAACAACCAATTCATTGCAATTATTTTTGCGTTATTTTGGTTCAGATCTTAAGAAATTGTATAGATATGCCCATATTGATATACCGAAACCTAATTTTGAAGAATACCGACGAAAATCGCTACAAGACAGCGAAACATCTGCTAGAGAAAGTGCCAATCAACGAAAAACCTTAAGTTGCGTTGCTTCTTTCGGTGCGTTTTAAAATTTTATTGTTTTTTTCAGTAAACAAAAATCGTAAGTACATAATAATAAAATATATAACATTCTCTCTTTTATATATATATAGCTGGCGGTGTCGCTGGATTGTATGCTTTGAAATCTCATATGTTACATTACATATATTTCTTATCGCCGTCAAGAGACATAATAGCAGTAGCTCAATTAGAAGTAAACTTGAGCACTATACCGGTGGGAAAAGTGTCGATTGTGAAATGGCGTGGCAAACCTGTTTTTATCTATCATCGGTACAATTTATCATAAAGTGATAAGTATTTGAAAAGTTTTTCATATCAAAGAACTATTAGATTTTGAGTATAAATCCTAGTACGTATAGTGCGCGTATTATCTTCTTCTGTGCTAAATTTAGCAAATTCCAAGTTTTTTTCTTTACTACGTATCGTCACTTCCTACGTATAATTACATAAGTGTCACATATGGGATTTTCAGTTTAGGCGATTTTTGGCGATCGTATGGTACATATACCAAAGTGTACCAAACTATAATTTGAAGTCACTCAAACTATAGTTTGGTACACTTTGGTATATGTACCATACGATCGCCAAAAATCGCCTTTTATTGCATAGTGACACTTAGAAAGTCATGTTCTTTATGGTCACCAAATATTAAAAAAAAATATTCATAAATAAGGTAAAAATTTGAAACCGAAAGATCCCTAACTATAGGGAAACATATGAAGCTTTATACTTTTAAACTGTTCTCGTCTAAAATTTGCGTTTTAAAATTACGGGATTATACGTAAGAAGTGACAAGATACACTTGAAAGAAAATGATACAAACACACGCATGTGTGCGCTCGTACGCATAGACGTATAATATATAAACTGCGCGTTCCCTACCTTTGCCATATTAAGAAAATGTCTTCAACGTTGAGAGAGACAGCTGGTGTTGCACAGTAGCCTCATCTTTGTCTAGCAAAGTGGGGAAAAAAGAAGTCTTCGCTAATTGATAGAATAGTAGTGGAAAAGTGGATAGAATAATAGTGGGGGTGAAGAAGAGTGAAAGAGATTAAGGGGTGATGGTAGGTTAGGTGGTATGAAACAGTAGACCTTGATCCCACCACGGACATTGATAGACAGAGAAAGAGTTACTATTCAAAGTATGTTGTCTCTCTCAACGTTGAAGACATCTTTTCAGCCAAACGCGCAGTCTATATATTATACGTGTATGTTCTCGCTTGTGTACGTATCCCCTCACCACGTTGATGATCTCATAGCACGGAATAGAACCGGGTGACGTCCATTTGACCACGGTACAATTGGACACAGTACGATTGCACACGTAATATTGGACACGTACGATTAGACACGGTACGATTGACCACAGTACGATTGGACACCGCAAGAATAGCACACCGTACGATTCGACACGGTACG